CTTTCATGGACTTGGTGTTTTCCGTAGCCGCTCTGCACTCTGTGGATCTGCCTAGGAGAAATGCGCTTGAGCACCGGCCCCTGCACCACTTTAAGTGGTAGCGGAGCCCGGCACCTGACCGGGCTCGGTTCCTGTAGTTTTGGCCAGGAGGCGTCGACCTCCGAGTGGCGCGGGTGCGACAGCGGAGACTGTCGAGGAGGGTGGCATGAAGGTGGGGCAACCACAGAGTGCTGTGGGTCCAGTGGCTGCTGAACAAAGGCCAGCGGACCAGATAGGTGAGGGTGGGGTAGGATCTCTTGATCCGTTGCTCTCCGTGGGCGTGGGGACGCGGCAGCGAACACTGGGCTTGGGAAGAGCGGCCATGTGGTCTTGGCCTATTGAAAGGCAATGGGGCTCATGGAGTTGGCATGAGCCGCAACCGTGGTGGTCTCATCGATGGGGTCAGCCGACCTCACGGTATGAGACGGAGTGGTTTGGTGGGCATGGGGGCTGGGCTGGAGACGGTCGTGTTCCGGGTGATGGTTCTTCGTGGTTGAGTCCTCCCCCCCCATCGTCATGCGCCTGGTCTACATGTTGGTGACCATGCCGGTGATGTAGGTCGAGACCAAGGGGGTGATCTTCCGCCTCCGGTGACTTCAGCTTCTGATGAGTCTTGGTTTAGTTATATCACCAGGTGATGATAGCATCGAGAACAATCCAGCCGCGTGGCCACCAGGGCCTTGGGAATTGCACAACATGGCGGCGGATGACAAATCCGCTGCTGATGGACGCCCCTCGGACTCGAGTCGGTCGGGTTTGGGGAGTAGCGGAAACCAGAAGAGTTCTCAGTCACATCGGAAGATCCCTTCTACGTATCAGGACCAGCAGCGTCCGTTAATTCTCCAGAGACCTCCAGTGAACATGCAGCGATGTCCGCTGTGCTGGAGCAAATAATGAAGGATGAGCAGCACCGCCAGTCCGCGAGAGCATACATGGCTGCGGTGCGTGATGCTGCTGGGAGTGTGGGGGCATCAAGAGAATTTGTGACATTGGTCAATGCAAGCGACGACATGTTCACCGCTCGTATGGTCGTGGATTTGGGTTGTTTGCGGTCGGTGGCAGGCATTAAATGGGTTTTGACAGAGGTGCAGCGTTGCAAGCAACAAGGTCGGTGTTTTGCCATCAAACCCACATTGGATTATTTCCGTTTTGGTGTGATGGGGTTCGTCGGCCTTCACGCTTTCGTGTCTATTTGGAGGTCGGCATCAATGGGCATGTAGGCTTGTTGGCAATTAACGCAGTTGAGTATCCTTGTCCGCCACTTCTTTCCAAACATGTATGCAGTGCATTGGGGCTTCAATTGGACTGTGGGTCTGGCAGGTTTGATCTTCACAGGTTAGGGGTGCGATCACAACATTTCACTTCATCAGCTGAGGGTCATTATTTGTTGCGGATCGATGAGTTCATTGAGCATTGGCCATCTTGGCATCAGTTGCTTCAGCAGGGACATTGTCCTAAGATTCAGCATGATGAAGTGTCCATGTTTGAGTTGCGCAAGGGCGTTCCCGTTGGCAAGGGTGTGCGGCGGATTCAGGCTCAAGGAAGAGATCGTGTCAGAACGCCTGTCTTGGCCTGTGCTCCCACGTCCAAGCCTCGCAGTGACTCTCGTGACCATGGATCGCGCTCAGCGGACCAGGGCAGCACGCACTCGGGAGCCCATCGAGGCACAGTCCGTGTCGTCGGTGGAACTTCTTCTGGAAGAGCCGGATTGGGAGGGCGAGGAGGCGGACAAGATCCAACCACAGCAGCCGCGTCGGAAGCAGGCGGCAGGGGCTCGCTTGGACGCTACGATGGAGAGTGCGCCAGCTGCCTCGACAGGGGCAACCAAAGTCAAGTCCGAGCCGAAGAGCAAGACCAAGGTCAGTTCCAAGACCAAGGACAAGAAGGAGACCCGCTTGGAGATCACCGGCCAGTATGCGGACTTTCCCGTGTTGGGAATGACCCACAGCCACGATGCAGTGTTCAACATGAGCTGGGTGCTGCACGGCCGGCTGGCGGTGCACTTCCAGCTGGTGTGGCTCCTGCGCTCCCGAGTGGCCATGGAATCCTACGAACTCCCTTGGAAACGCCATCCTCGCTGGCTGGCCATGATGATGAGCAAGGAGGTGGCGGCCATTTGGGGGCATTTGGGCGGCGCTGTGAAGACCTTGAGCGGCCCTCGGGGTCCGCAGCTGCTGAAGTGAGGGGTGAGGCAGTAGCGAACGGGGGTTCAGAGCCGAGGAGAGCAACGCCGTGGAAGCGCAGTCAAGTTCAAGTGTTGAAGAGAGGTGCAAAGTGCTGTTCATCTGTTTTACAACATTTGGCTTTTGTTGCTCACAAATCAACAGATCACACTTGGCGTGTATTAGAGATCTTTGGAGGCAGTGCAGCATTGTCGCTGATAGCCCGCTCCACTGGGAAATGGTGTGCCTTGGAGCCTGTCGACTTAGTCTATGGATCTGATGTTCTGGACCCCAAAGAACGAAAGCGGATCTTGCAACAGATTGATGAGTGGGAACCGGATCTTGTGTGTCTTGAACCGCCGTGCGGCCCTTGGTCCTCTCTACAGTCACTCAATCCCCAAGAAGTTGTTCATTTCAAACGAATGTTGCATATGCCTTTTTGGGAATTTTGTGCAGTTGTCTGGAAGAAACAACATCGCGCCGGTCGTCCGGTGTTGTTGGAGCGACCTTTTCGCAGCATGGCATTGAAGTTAGATTGTATGATTCAACGACCAAGTGTACACAGAGCCGTTGTAGATCAGTGCATGTTTGGATTGCAAGACCAGTGTTCTCATTTACCTTTTCAGAAGCGCACTGCCTTGGACGTCAACTCTCCTGTGTTCGCTGCAGCTTTGATGCAGGGCTCGTTGTGTGATCGCAGTCACTCCCATCAGACCATTGAAGGTCAGGTTTTTGCTCATGGCAAGTGGATGAACCGCTCCTTGGTGGCGGGCACCTGGACACCCCAGTTTGGCCGCCACATACTGGCATGTGCTGCGCTGGCCCTGTCTCAAGCTGGCTGCTGGCATCACACCATGCTCATGTCTTTGTCACCCGCTTCGACGAGGGGGATGGAGGCGAGTGCTTCTTGTCCAGACCATCGTCGGCTGCTCCGTGTGACTCGGCGGGATGCTATGAACTGGGAGAGCACTGGTGTGACACCTGTGAGGGGGGTTGGTGCAATCAATGCTTTGTGAATCATGTTTGTGAACCCCACCCACTTGTCGAACAAGTTGATGAGCATTTAGCCTTTGCAGCATCCAGCGCCGCTGATCATGAACTAGAGGAGGAGTGCTTGGATCAGGCACCCGGTGCAGAAGAGCTGAAGACAGAGGTAGCCATCAATCAGCTGTTCCGACGGCTTCAACAAGAAGAAGATCAGCGCCGTGGCGACTACTCGGGAGTGGGCAGCCGCTATGGCTATGTTCGTTTTGTTGGGGCTTCACTGAGGGTCAACAAGGCCATCCGGAATCAGGTGGCCAAGTTACATGGTACCTTGGGGCATCCCTCCAATGATAGGCTAGCTCGGTTGCTGAAGCTGAATGGTGCTACCAAGGAGGTTGTTCAAGCAGCGCAGGACTTGCGTTGTGAGGTGTGCAGTCGGGTCCATCCACCAACTTCGATGCCCAAGTCGTCTGTCATCAGATTCCTTTTTCTTGCTGGATAGTGAAGGGGTGCGGTGGAATGTGACTCATTTGGTCGATGGTTTTTGCGGGCTACAGTATGGTGTGCTCTCCAAGAACCCTTCCTCTGCCACGAGTTGTGACCTCCTCTTTGACAAATGGATTTTGGTGCATGGGCCGATGAAGGAGCTCACTGTTGATGGCGGGCCGGAATATCGAGGTGGCTTCCCTCATCTTTGCGAGGTCTATGACATTCGCTTGAACATCAATCCTACCTCCGCCAAGTGGAAGAGTGGTTTGGCTGAGAGACACGGGTCGATCCTCAAACTCATTCTGCTCAAGATGGTCCATGAACTGTCCCTGACCAAGGAGGGCGATTTGAGGAACGCCTTGGCCATGGCTGCGCAAGCCAAGAACCGCCTGTCACGTCGGCGCGGTTACTCTCCACTGCAAGTGGTTCAAGGCCGTGATATGGTCTTGCCATCCTCCTTGGTGGAGCAAGTTGACCGGGCGGAGATCAAGTTTGCCACCAATAGCAAAATCCTGGAGATCAAAGAGCAGGACTTCATGGAGAAGCTGAGGAAGGAGGCGGCTGCCGCCTTCATTGGCTGGATAGACATGAGCGTTTGAGGATGGCTCTAAACAGCCGGTCTCGTCCACCACACCTGAAGGCAGATGCCTTGGTGCCAGGTACTGTGGTCTATTTCTTCAAACAACCTGCTCAGAATCGTCGACTACAG